GATTTCCCTCTTAAATTTCACTCTATATATTATTTCATGCTTGTTTCATTGATACTAGGATTGCCTAGCACAATTTCGTCTGTAACGATAAGGTTCATTGAAAAATAATCTTCACATTGATAGTCTCCATATTTCTACAATGTCCAATTTTCTATTATTCATTGATAACTTGCAATTAACCATTCCAACCAGGAAGCCAATGACATGCAGACATGTTTGTCATAATTGTATTGTAATATAGCAGGGTTGTCCTTGTTGAGGCCGGATTAAGTCTTACATTATTATTATCCAATACTGACCTGAAGTCAGAATTGATCTTCAGCATTGACCTTTTCTCATTTTACTTTTATTGACTGTTGCTTTTAATACTTTGGTTTCTTATGTAGGCCAGCCAAAGCGGCATCTTCTTACTACTGGTTGGAGCATGTTTGTTGGAACAAAGAGACTTAGAGCAGGTGATTCTGTTCTGTTTATAAGGTAATTTCAAGTCAAATCAACTGACTGTTGGTTATTTTTCGATTTCCATTGCGTGGCATTTCTTGAGATGGTTGGATTTTTTTTTATTTTTTTCAAGCCATAAAGTGATGTTATTACAAATTCTGATGAGCATGTGCATTTCTCTGTTTGAGGAAAAGAAATGGAAACTCATTGTTGCGTGCAATGCGACTATTGATCTTCATAAATTATTTGGTGCTGATTATTGGAATAATACGGTTCATCACATAAAATTTAGTTTTTTAGTTGGCTTCATGTGTGGTTATTCATGATAGAAAAAGTGTTCGAAATACTCACAGATCAAGAATGTGTAATTCATTGATTTTTGAAGATTAGTAATGAACGACGCTATTTGTGATAGGGATGAGAAGTCACAGTTATTGCTTGGAGTGAGGCGTGCTAACCGTCAACAGGCTGCTTTACCATCATCGGTACTCTCTGCTGATAGCATGCATATAGGAGTCCTTGCTGCCGCAGCTCATGCTGCTGCAAATAGGAGTCCGTTTACAATTTTCTACAATCCCAGGTACTTTGCAAATATTTTGTTACAATAATTATTTTTATATGATCAATCATTATTTGAAAAAAACGAGTACCCTTTGGTGAAATTTGTACTTTCACAGGGCATGTCCTTCTGAATTTGTCATCCCTTTGGCAAGATATCGAAAATCAGTATATGGAACACAGCTTTCAGCTGGTATGAGGTTTGGAATGATGTTTGAAACTGAGGAATCAAGTAAGCGAAGGTAAGTTCTGTTGTCATTGGCTGTTTACTGAACAAGGTCCCTTTTGACTTCGGTTTTCTCAAACTTTTCTGTTTCATGGACAGATATATGGGTACAATTGTTGGCATAAGTGACTTGGATCCACTGAGATGGCCTGGTTCCAAGTGGCGAAGTCTTCAGGTAAAGTGTATTGGGACTAATGTTGGATACTTCAAGAACAGTCAATTTGGCAAATTCGGCAAGTTTTGCTTTCATATTTGCTTATTGAACTTTACCTCTGTTCAAACAACAGGTAGAGTGGGATGAGCCTGGTTGTGGGGATAAGCAGAATAGAGTGAGTCCTTGGGAGATTGAAACCCCTGAAAGTCTCTTCATTTTTCCTTCTCTGACTGCAGGTCTTAAACGACCTTTCCAATCTGCATTTTTGGGTAAGTTTCTTCTTATGATGTCTTGTGGCCAGCCCCTGTATTAAAGTGATACTAACCAAATCAAAATAATCTTGCATCAGGAGCACAAACTGAATGGGAAAGTTTAGTTAACAAACCTTTTCTTCGAGTTCCAGGAAATCTTAGTGGGGATATTGTGTGTCCTTCTGTTTCCAACCCATGGTCAGAACAACTAATGAAGATGCTGATAAGACCCAATTGTGTCGACAATCTTCCCAGCACTGCATCTTCTCTACTAGAAGCAAATGCTAAGGTTTCTCCAGTGCTGGAGGCTGAAAAGATTACGCAGGCAGTAATCAAGCAAAAGGCTGAGATTATTCCTCGAGAGCATGTATCTTCGCAAAGTGAGAGTATTCAGCAAAGCCATCTTGACCAAGCCAACAACTCAAAACTGAACTTTTCATCCCAATCAGTTCTACCTGGGAAACCACAACATCTGGACAAACTTGGAAACCAAACACCTTCTGTAATTCATACCGAAGCTACCAAACTAGAGCCTGAGCTGCAATCTGATCAGTTGAGCCAATATTCATCACTTGGACACTGTAACGATGATAGATTGGTAGTTAAGCCTGCAAATTCGCATAATCTCGTAAATGATATCGTATTATTGAATCAGAATAATAATATGCTAGCAGTGCAAGCAAGTCCAAAGATGATGCAGGCACAGTTGGACTCGCATCTTCTCCAGTCTCTGCCAAGTGATGCATCCCAAGAAGAAAATTCGATCGCCAATGGTCTATTTGTGTACCCAGATCACAATGAATGGAATTTATATCCTTCATCTTGCCAATCTCTGGCTGGGCTTCTCAAACCTCCTGGATCTTCATCTGCTGCAATTAGGAAGCATGATCAGCCAGTTATATTATCAGGAGGATTGGGCCCTGAACTTTCGACAATTGAAGAATTGTGGAATAACCAATTTAATAATACGAAATTTTTGTCCCAGACAAACCCCCTTGTTGCATTACCTCAGCATGATCTACCCAACCTTCACCTTTTAGCCAGCTCATTTGGTTTAAAAGATTTGTCAAATGAGAGCTCTAACCAAAGTGATATGTATAGTTGTCTAAATTTTGATGGAAATAACAGTGGAAGCACAGTGGTTGATCCTTCTGTTTCAAGCACAGCATTGGATGAATTCTGCACGCTAAAGAATTCTAATTTCCAGAGTCCTTCGGATTACCTCATGGGAAACTTCAATTCGTGCCAGGATGTTCAATCTCAGATTACCTCTACAAGCTTGGCTGATTCTCAAGCTTTCTCTGTGCAAGAATTTGTTGATAACTCGGGTGGTACGTCTTCAAGCGATGTAGATTTTGATGAGAGCAATGCTTTGCCAAATAGCTCCTGGCAGCAAACAACTCCAAGGGTGCGAACGTATACAAAGGTAAGCAATTTGTTGCATGCAGCAAGTTGTGCATTTGGTTGTGGAGTATTTGCAAAAGTATTGAGTTGAATGTAGTAATTTTTATAATAAACGAAGAGGTAATGTCATTGCATCTACTTCCGAGATATGTTCAACCACTTTGTTGGTTGACTGGAGTATCTCGGTTACCCATTGTTCATAGCAAAAGATTGTGGAGTCATACCTCTAGTAAGTGGTCGCCCATTGTCAAGTTTGTTTCTGGAATGCTGACAGATGTTATGGACCTGTAGAATATTCTTCCTGCTAAGTCACTGACTCTCTATGGAAGATTATTTGGCATACACTTATTCATGTCTGTTTGGCTTTCAACTTTTCAGCTTGCCTTGTGCATGTTATGCATGCCATTGCTGTTATCTTTTCCAAATTTTTAATGGCTTTCGCTTATTTTACTTCCTCAATGATGGAATGCGTATTGGCTGATAGATCCAAAAGGCTGGATCTGTTGGAAGGTCAATTGACGTCTCAAGTTTCAAGAATTATGATGAACTATGTTCTGCAATTGAGCGGATGTTTGGTCTCAAGGGACTGCTAAACGACTCGAAAGGTTCTGGCTGGAAACTGGTGTATGTGGATTTTGAGAATGATGTGCTTCTTGTTGGGGATGATCCTTGGGAGTAAGTTGCTTTTCTATTCTGTGTCTATAGAAAGCCTTGTGTATCATCAACATCAGAAGGCACGTTTAGTTTCTTGCTGTAAATTTATTGCAGATATTGTCCTGGAGACACTACTTGCAAGCAAAATTTCTCTCTCAGATTTACTATATTACTCCATGATTATGCAGCATAGCATGTATGGCGAATCAGAGCAATTATGTTTGCTGACAAAGGTTTTGTTTTTTCATCCTGAAATGGAATTACAGGGAATTTGTTGGTTGTGTCAAGTGCATCAGAATCCTATCACCCTCTGAGGTTCAGCAAATGGGTGAAGAGGGAATGCAACTTCTAAACTCTGTCTCAGAAGCAGGACGTTCTTGTGATGGCCTTGGCTAATATGTGAGAAAGCACGCCTGCTTTTGAAATCGCGGTGCTTTGTTGCCCCTCCTCGCTGATGCTGAGATAAAGTCTGATTTTCAACTCTGCTTAATCCATGCATCGCAGTATCATGTTGGTTTGCAGCGTAGATGCTAATAAATGTATTAATGTAATGTATGTACAACCTTATCAGGTGGTGTAGAGTAGTATTGTAGTTTGAGCTTTCTTTTAATGCTTGTCTTGTGTTATGGAAACGTACCAGTAGTTTGAGCATTTTTAAATGCAAGTCTTGTATGATGGAAACGTATCAGGTTCTGTAGTAGCGAGTGGCGACATTTTTAGCATATGAAGCTATTATGGGAAGACAATTTGCAGTTCATACACGCTAGTGTGGAAATAGACCTCTCCAGAAAACTGGTAACAAGTGTTGTGTTCAAGGAATGAACCAAATCCTATGCAGAAGTAAGGCAACTCTGTTTTATTATTATTTCTCAACTTTCATCACGTAGGGATTCGTATTTTGCATTTCAAACAAGCTACAATTAAGAGAAACAGCTTCCCATTTGCTTCACCTTACATCACCTTTCTTCCGCTTCGCTTCGCTACTTAACATTTCAGGCATTTGAAAGATGCCTCCTAAGGATGTACATTGTACCGAGGTTCAGAGAAAAACAGGAGAGTTAATAATCTGGAAAAGCGCTTAAAGAGGGAACTGTGGCCCTGGCAGTAGCGTATATCTTCCATGGCAATGAACCAAATACCATTAAACAATTGAATGCCCCCTCAGGAGTTTTTGTTGTCTAAATTAACAGGCCCAACCATGCAGACGGTCAAACATACAACACTTGAATATTTGGAGATGATGGTTAAAATGAAGTTGACATAGCTGAAGCATGACATTCACTCTTACAAACTCCCAAAATCAAGTGCTAAAATGGAAGAAATAGAGGCCCCAGAAGAGAGCCAACAACTCTGCTTGCAAGTGGACAAGTCTTTAGTTGGTGAGAACTAGGCCTAGAGCTTAATAATTAGGGCTACAATCAACTTTGCAAACTTAATGTTAACTGTTGATCTCCATCGTAATACAAGTTATTGACAGAGACTGAACTTGTCTCTTTTAGACGAGTCGGATGAGCCTGAATAATACTCTTGAACCCTTGGGAGAGTATTGATCCTTGGGAAATTGAGAACCCTGGCAGTCTTCCAAATAATACTCTTGAACGATGTCCAAAAAGAACAAAAACTATCTTTTAAAGAAACCTACGAGAGATATGCTATAACTGTATCACTGATAAAGATGGTCTACACTTATCAGGAATATCTGGGACTCGCCACTGTATCAGATTGCTAGTCTGTATAGTCTGATGGATGATAGAATGCATACAGAAAACAACCAGCTTGAGAATTATCATTTAAGAGAGTAGGTCTACTTTGTGGGTTGGGGAACTGAATTGTTGGAACTTCTGTCGTTCTGGCTGAACCCCTTGGAAACATTTTTACTGGCTGAAATGGATTAAGAAGGCCTAATATGGCAACCAACCAGTAGGATTAACCAGAAAGACCAAGAATGAAATCTAATCAAAACTGTAGGGCTTTCTAATCGTGTCTAACATTTCCCTGTGCAAGGGTACTAAAGCTGAATGCTGGCAACTATGGAGGAAGAGGGAGGAGGATTTTCAACAATTTTTGCAAGAATGGTCGTAGGAGCTGCTTGTCAGGCCAGCTGGATTTTAATACTTTATCCTTCCCTGGAAATCCAGATAAAAAAGCTTGAAAGCATCAAATACCTCGCCATATACTCTGCAGAGTCTCCTTGTCGACCAAAAGCTGACACATGCTATGACAGCTAAGAATTATTTCTCTCAAAGTTAGGTCGTAGAAACCATTCGATGAACCAGATGCAAAATTGGCACATGCCCGCTAGTCATGATGAACCTTAAAAACCTATTCTAGAGATATGGAATCTCTACGCTAACAGATCTAATTACGGACAGAAGAACCAAACACAATAAAAAGCTTAACAAAAGGCAATGATCCAGAAACAACGAGCACAAAGTCCTGAACATTGAAAAGCATAAACAGCATTTGAGGACCATTTTGTATCTCAATGAAATGCCTCGAGCACTTATGCAGCAAAAGCCCTTAAATAGGTGATTGAAGAAATCAAGCAGAATCTTTTGACGGTCAGAAGCCAACACCCACCAAAAGCATTCAACAACTGGGCTTATCAGTGAGATAAAAAAGTTCACTGGAAGCACCTTAGTGACCCACATTGCAAGTTCATCCAGATATAAGCCTCAGGTTGTGCTGAAAATTTTCAAAATATTGAATAAATTGATATTACAAATGACCTTGTCAATAAAAATCCAACTAAGAAGACATCTTTCTTTAAAAATTCATCAAGAAGAAAGTAAAACAAATTTATAAAGTAAACAGATATACAACACTTGGAAATTGGCAGAGCCTATCATCATGTATGTTGCTGATTGCAGTCGAGAAAGATATAACCAATTCACCTTGCTTATTTCACATTGCAAAGAAATATATGAGGCAGTTAAGAAATAAGATAACAGCCAAAATATCTATTGTGGAGTCTATTGCTAGATAAGCTATTCTTACCTCTTAATATGCAGGGACCAGTCCTAATTCATTGTACCCTTACTGGTTTCTGAAGAACAGCAGAGAGGTAAACTTCTGCTTTTCCTGATCCATTGATCTTCTCTCCCACTACCCATTTAAGCTTCTTGTAGCCGAATTGTTCAATTATCCGAGTTAAAGCTGTTTTCTTGTCATCATTAGAGCAGTAAAAGTTATCCAACCAAAGCAATCCGCCGGCTCTCAGTATTCTATCAATGTCAAACATCAAGAACTCCAACTTCTCAGGGCGGCCCCCAACATCCAATCCATTCGCAGCATGAATCAAATCGAACACATTATCATAGAAAGGGAACCTATGATCTAAACTCAAGAACACAGGAAAGAGCCCTCTTGCAGCAATGAATTCATTAAATGGTGCATCAATATTCAAAGTGGCAGTAACTACAGTCACGTTCCTTTCAGCCATTCTAGCAGCAAAAGTCCCAGAACCTCCACCAATATCAAATCCAATTCTAATACCACCACTCCCCAAGGCTAATACATCATCAATAAGGAAATCATTTTTGCCTCTTGCCTTAATATACTTTTGAGTTTCATAACCATTTACGATATCAAAACAACCAGCACAATCCCTATTCAACTTCTTGCTATTCAAACAAGCTAAATTCTTGCAAGTAAGACCACTCCAACTGTAAACCTTTTCACTAACACTTTTCCAAAGTGAAATAGGAAAAGGTTGGAGACCCACCTTAGGAATAGTCTTAGCAAAGCACCTCCTCCTAGGCAATGGCTCACATCCCCGCAAAATCAGCTTTTGGCCAAGACTCCAATCATCAGGACAAGGTCCACTGACCTTATAATTCATGTACTGAGACAGCAAATCCACAGATTTCTCGCAAGAATGCCCCACAGAAGCTACCATTTCAGTGATCCCAGTTCTTGAATCTTTTCCCAGAGGCAGCAAATGGTGCTGCAAGAAAGCTTTTAGCTCATTTGCAGTATTGGGTCTGGAAAGATCGATGCTTTCATAACCTAAGAGCTCCTTTTCCATCTGGGCGAGCTTCTTTTGAGAAGATTCAATCTCCCTGAGGATCAAGGAGACTTGTTCGGATATCAAAGATATGTTCTTTTGAGTATGGTGAATTGAGTGGTTGGTCAGAGGGTCCTTAGGGGAGTAAGTGAAAGCATACAAAGCAAAAAGATTGGTAGTGATTACAGAAAAAAGCATCAGCACATTCACTGCCGAGGAACACAGAGAAGCCCTCTTGAATCTTGCTGTTCCATCACCTATTTTCAGCGAAACAGAGCCCATCTTTGCTCTGCTTTCTTGCTGAACTGAATCGGAAATCACAAGCCCGTGAAAGAGAGAGTGAGCTTTGTGAGAGTCTTGACAGTGAGTGAGCCAGCAAGTGGGAGAGAAAAGATTAAAAAGTTGATTATGATATTAAGAAGAAATTAAGACAATAAACTTGGGAGTCAGATACTCGTCGGTTGGGCTATGATAGGGGATGCTTTAGTGTAAGACGTGTACGTGTATGAAATCGATTGGACCTTTGTGGGGTCTGGTCCAGAATTACCTGAATCCGCTCTCCTCCATCCTCCGGTCCTGGTGAGCTCGCGGAAAAGATGGAATACCCGAGGGCCAAGATTTGCTTGATCAATTGATCCGGAGAAGTGAAAATAATAATGTATTGAAGTGGCACGGTTGTTTTGCTAATTAATGGAGTATTATGACAAAGGGCGTCGGACCCATGAGTCAAATCACTCCAAAGAAAGCAAAGGGTTGTCAACGGGGTGTTAATGCGCTTTGCACTTAGCAACTGGAGAGAAGACGGGAAGACTGATCTGACCACGACTGGTCTCCAATCTCCCATCATCACTGGACGTAAACCTCAGGCACGAGAACATTAGTTAGTGTCAAACATCCACTCGTCGTCCAGTCCAGTAGTTTAATTTACCATTCACTTTAGAGCTTGCCATGAAAAACTAGCCCAAAAGAGAAGCAGGGAGAACAATCGGCAATGTCCTGCTGTTCCCCTTCGGCCATTTGATTCTTTAAAGTATTGAATCTAATTTCTTGAGCAATGTTGCCCTCGCTTGGTTTATGTTATTACCGTCGAAATATTGTGAAAGCATCAATTTTCAACTCGTAAAATGGACTTAAAATCTGGTTTATGTGTGGCACAAATACAAGTAAAAACTAGAAGTGTCATGTGCTTTTCTTAGTATCCTGCTTTATAACTTCACATTATATGAAATCTTCAACCGTAAAGTGACTTGATACAACGGAAGAGGAATGCATTAACTGGATTGGATGATATACGAGGTTTTGAAATTTGAAACCTCCCACTTACATTTTTTTTAAAAAATTAATATAAACTAGTGTTATAAACTTAATATAAACTAGTTTTGACCCCAGATTATTAAAGGAAAAGTCGTGGCAGGAAGAAAAGAGAAAATGAAAATGTTAGCACTAAATTATCAAAAGTTTTCAAAAACTGAAAATCATAGCTGCGGAAACTCTCTTCCCTTTTGCTTTTCTTTTCAGTTGTTGTTTGGAATCTTATGTGTTGCAGTCTTGTTGAGAACAAATAGATGAATTAAAAAGAGGGAGGGATTAAGAGTTAAATAAAGAAAGTCACAGTTATTTAATTAATGTATCTCACTACTGTGCTTTTTTTTTTTTTGGTCATTTATTAGTATAACCCATTGCTTTACTCTGCGCAATTTGGTGCACAAGACCCAATTAGGGGGTAGATTAACTAAATAATAATAACATTAATAACAACTAAATAAAATTGAAAAAGTGTTTGGGTCATAACTTTGATTGTCTTGGGCTTGGGTCAGGTCCAGGGAGCGTAAAGCCCAGCCCAGTAAAGATATTCATAAAGCTTTTTTTTTTTTTTTTTTTGTTGGCCTTCCCCTTCTCCGTCGGTAGAGAACAGTTGCAGCTTCAAGCCTTCAGCCAGCAGAACGTGTAGAGAAGTTTGTGTGGAAGGTTGAAGAAAGAAGAGGAAACCAGAGGAAGGAAAAGGGGAAGAATAATGGGGCAATCATCATCGACAGAACAAATTTCAGGGGTTCAACGGGAGGCAGAATCATTGGCAGCATCTACTGGGGCTCTTCCAACTCTTCAGAAAGCATTTTCCCGTCTCTCTGATCCCCAAACGGAACTTATCCCTCTTGATTCCCTCCAGGTAGGTGCTTATTACTCAATCTCCACGAAATCCCCGTTAGAATTATCATCCCAAGTTCCCTTTACATCAAGTAAATAAGTCTAACTGATCGTACCAATTTCAGCTATCATTCTTTAGTTGATTCTTTGTTTTTGGCGGTGTTTAGACTTTTGTTTTTTCGGATTGTCTTATTTAACTCATTCATGCTCATATGCAACTAAACGCCCAGTTCGTAGTTGCCGAAAAATATTTTTTTTTCAATGATTTTGATGTTTGTCGCACCTCTGTTATGATATGATAATTGATACGCGGGGTTTTAGTTTTTCTTTCCAATTTTCATGTTTGACTTCTTCGTATTAATATTCTTCAGAGCCAAAAAGTGTGCCATCTGATGATTTTGATGTTTGATGAACCTCTTATGTGAGCTCATATTTCCATACTTTCTTTCTCTCATCGTATTAGTTTAGGATTCAAATTGGTTAAATCAACTGTTTTTCCAACTGAAATGCTTACATTCCTTCTCTATGGACAATAGAAATGCTTTGGCCTCATTATTGAGGACCAATCATCAACAACTGAAGGAAGTATAGTGCCAAAAGAATTTCCGGTGCTCTTGAGTCACGTGGGTTCTGCCATTGTGGACCAATTCTTCTTGACTGAGAAAGGAGGGGTCAGTTGGGTTGAGTTTTTGAGAGGTTACGTGAATTGCTGTGGAAGGACAGTTACTTCAGCTTCATTTAATAATTTATTCAAGGTGTTTGTTATCGCACATAACAAGGCTGGCCTTCCTGTGGGGCTGCAATTTGATTCAGCTGAAGATGATGGTAAAATGAGTGGATCCTTGTTGCCCACTGATTTAGTTATGCTTCTTTGGATGTGTTGGATTATGTCATGGGATTCAAGGAAGTTGCAATCTTCTACCAGCCCTGGGAGTAGTGGTCTTCCAGATATTCATCACTTGGTGCTGTCAGCTGTTGAGTCATGTGCAGAATCAAGCAATAAATTTGATCTATGGAACTCAAGAATTTCTGGTTTGGATGTTCAACTTCTTGCTGCAAAATTTCACATATGGGCAGTGAAGACAGTGCCATATCTTGCACACTGCCTGGCGCATTTTGTGTATACAAGATTGGGTTACTTTACAACCCATGAGGTACCTTTTCCTTGAGATTTTCTGGATGTGTTATCTTTGCTTTTTCTGAACCTTTTCTTGTATCTTCCTTCGCATGTTTAGAAGTCAGTATTGGGTGTTATATGGTCTAACAAGTGGTAAGGACAAATCACAACTTGTTTTACATGATTTAATTTGGTAAATGCAACATTCTTTGAGGCGAACAGATTATCTATTTTGAGCTCTTTAGAAATCGGAAGTTGTAAACCATGTGTAAACCATGTGTCTCTCTCATGATGACTTGTTCTGGAAATAGGTTTGTGCTTTCAATTCCTTTATTCAATATTCAGTTGTAACTCTTTTTGTGTAATGTGTCAAACTAAATAGTTATTTTGGGTTCTGGCTCTTTGAGAACTCTTCATTGTCCCAGCCCATGCTTGTTAATGTCGTTCTGGGGTCCCATAAGGTGAGTGTTTTTGGATGTTCTGATAGTGTCTGCAGTTTATTAGAGTAGTTGACTTCTTGTGTGTCCCCATCTGACACAAAATTGATAATACAAAGCTGTAGAATGGCATTGTCAAACAATGTGAACAATAAGTACATATTAAGCTTATACAGTATGCTGACTCTGGATACCTAATTGGCAGGGCAAATCGGAGGATTTGTGCTTCCCTGTGCATGCCAATTCTGCAGCAGAAGTTTGCAATACCCACCTTCTTACATGTGGAAGGGCTTGGGCTGTATCACTGACCCTAAGTGGTACTCTAAATGAAGAGATTTTAAAAGCATGCTTCCCAAGTGAAACAGATTGGATATGCGAAAATCTACTTTACAAGTTGCTCTCTCTCTCTCTCTCTCTCGTGTGTTTGTTATAGTTTACCTACGTCTTTTTGCTAGTATTAATTGCAATTTCTGTGTACTTTTTCACCTTTTTAATTCTCCACTTCAAGTTATATGTTTAGCTATGCACCCAGTTGCTTCTGATGGACCTGTGATCTTGAGAAATGTGTAATATAACTTGCATGAATATGGGTGATTTAGGTGCACCTGAAAATTTTCTTTCAGGAAAAAGTGCTCTTTAGATATAATAAGGGGTTTTAAGAGTAAAAGCCTGACTTGCTGACATGTGGGATTTTTCCATTGGACTTGCAAACTTTATGTTGGCCGACACCTGCAGTTGGCAGCCTCATGATCTTTTATTAATTATGTGCAGGTCATCTCTCCACGGGAAAGGTCTAAATAGATTCTGGTCACATGTTGAGGGTTATAATGGGCCAGTGTTAGTGCTCATTGCTGCTTGCAAGAATGATAACAATGAAAGGAGGTCAATTTTTGGTGCCCTCACACATCAGGGTTTTGAAAATAGGGATGCATTCTACGGAAGTTCTGGTAGCCTCTATGCAATAGATCCTGTCTTTCGTGTTTACTTGTCTTCAGGTAGGTAAACACTAAACAGAATTCTTTTTATTTTTATTTTTTAATTTAGAATGAACACAAATTGCATTCTCTCAGCAAGTTAGGTGAAATCCATCTCTGTACTTATGTAAGGTTAAAAAATTGTTACTATTCCTTTGCAGGGAGGGAAAAAAATTTTGTGTACAGCCACTTGCATCCAACTATGAGGGCATATGACCCTCATCCAAAGCCAGCTGGAATTGCATTTGGAGGATCCATTGGGAATGAGAGAATACTTATGGATGAGGATTTTGTTAGAGTTACTTTTCGTCATCATGCTGTTGACAAAACTTATCAACATGGTCCCCTCATCCCTGATCAGGTACAGTTTTAATGATGTTCAGGTTGCTAGAGACAATCACTTTTACCTGCAAGTCATCATGTATGCCTTTTTTTTCCACTGATTACTGGGTACTGGGATTCTTGTTGTCCTAGAACCAATTTCTTGGTTCACTATAGAAATTGGTGGCACTAAGGTTTTTCGTGCTCTTTTTTGTCTTGCTTCATGGAGATGAAAATTACAATAAGCAACTACTCTGAAAGAAACAAGCAAACCATGGGATGCATATTGGGATATGTTGTATGATCTATGAGAAGACTATAATTTTGTAGTCTATATTCATCTCATACTTCCATCGTCCTCAAGTAGCGAGCAGATGCCAACCTGACCTCATCCAATTGCCATGTAGTAGAACCCTTCAGTACTATTTGTTTACTTAAAAGTCCTTACAGTTAATGATAGTATTGTACTCAACTCTTTCTCTATTGCAATTAGGAATACAAATTATCTAGTGGAATGGTGGTAATTGCCCCTTTATGTTCACTCCTGGTTCAGTGGGATAATGTTAAACTGAGTGCCCCTCAACCATTGGGCACACTTAATAGTATTGCTTTTTTGTTATCTGAGGGTTACTTGAATATTGAACTCACAAACCTTGTCAAAAGCTAAAAGTGACTTTGTAGTATCTATGAAGACTTATAGTTTCCTTATTCCAGGGGTTTTTACCACTTGAAGCTTCAGTTTTAGAGGTGGAGGTATGGGGATTAGGAGGAAGAACAGCAAAAGAAGTTCAAAATTCATACAAGAAGCGAGAAGAGCTTTTCACTGAGCAAAGACGGAAGGTAGATAAAGGGAATGGACACTTCTGCGTTTGAAACTTGATCAAATCAGAACTATTTGAGATTAATTATTCAAGTATTTCTTTCTAATTTCTGTGCAGGTTGACTTGAAGACGTTTGGAAACTGGGAGGACTCGCCTGAGAAGATGATGATGGACATGGTATCTGATCCCAATATAGTCCGACGGGAAGATCGATAGAAAAGCGGATAGTTTATGTTAAGCCAGACTATTGATGGCTAAGCGGATCTTTTATTTTAAGCCAGACTGTTAAATGGCGACAATACACCCTTGTTTTTCCTTTTCTTCCTTTTACCTTTTCACCAGGCTGTGATTTTAGGGTTCAATAGAAAACTACTTAGATTCGGATGTACAGAAATTTGTGAATATATAGATTGTGGAGAAATTTGACTTCGGCCCGAGGCAGGAAGTCTGTTTTACTGATTGCTCACCACTGTTTCACTTGGGTCCTACTGTATTAGTTCTTTTTTGTCAACAGATAATCGGAAGCAATTATTGCCGCCGGGCATTTACTTGCATACTCAAGCGATATACGTCCGCAACAACACTTGTCTGAAATGTTCAGTTATTTAATCGGAAGCAATTATTGCTCTAGGGCATGCAAGCCAAGCGATATAGGTCTGGAGCAACACTTATCTGAAATGTTCAGTTATAGAACATTCAACCAGGCCTTGATGCAAGCCTTCATCCGTTTTTTCCAAATTGAAGGAATTAGAAAACCTCGAGCAGATTTCCTGATTCATCTAAATATTCCTTCAGCCCTTCTCAGTGCATTCCATCATTTCCTGTCTTGTCCAAAATTCCAAGTGATTTATAATTTTCCTAACTGATTTAAAATTATGAAGGGGAAATAGAAGAATGGAAAGCTGATGAAACAGATTGTGGATCCAGTTTAAAAGTTTGAGCCTTCAATAACGCAGATGTACAAACTATTTGTCTTCAAAATTGAGATTCAAGTCACAACTAAAAGACTCGGCCCTATTGCTCAACTAATATCCTTGACATTGCTGACTGCAGTCACTGCTTCTTCTCTTCTGCTTTCTTCGGCTGGAACAGAAAAACAAGCACAAAGAAATATGTACTCAAAGCCGTGTATACTTCAGATTACTACTAGAGTATACAATCTGCTATAGAAAATTAATCCTGCGCCTACAATCAAGCAAAATATTTCCATTCACGACATTCAGCACCATGCAGATGATTTGAAATAATGTCATGTAATAAAGGGAACTTGAACATTGAGAAGGGTAAATGGCGAAAGTGGTTACTAAACTATCAAAAATGGCATAGCTCGGTCACCGAACTTTTTTTTTCCTCGACCAAAAGGTCATTTAACTCCTTAAAACAAGCCTTTGGGATCATTCTCTGAAATCACCTGCAATGCAAGACATTTTTGTCCGTAAAATTGTACAATACCAGGTCAAATGTGCTTCTTTACTGTTGGTTTACTAGCGAAATTGGACGATATGACCCAAAAGACCCACTTTAAGGAGTTGAATGACCATTTTGGCATAATAAAAAAAAATGTGTTCAATGACCAAACCGTGCTATTTTAGATAGTTAAGTGATAATTTTCGCCATTTACTCTATTGAGAATGATGCTGCTAATTCAATAGGCATTACCATGCGGCCCTTACGTCCAATTATGAACCACTAATAAAAATGGCATACTTTATGAGCTCAAAGCTATTCAAACTAAACTCAACAGAACCACTATACAAATTGCTTGGCCATTCATTTCTTGATCTATGGATGGGTAAGAGAGCTAGTACCATGAATCTGAGCTAGAAATTACCTAATCCAAGTCGAGTACTTTTAACGGTTTAGTGAACCAAAGCTCTCACTCATTCAAGGCTTATCAGTGTAAGGGTCAAATACATGGAACGAAGAGCTACATCTAAGAGGGACACAGGAATTTAACACCACCGCGTCATGGCAACAGTAGCTCGCAGTCCATCAAAGCATTTATTTCGAGTATGAAAATCACCACCCCACCAGAGTACTTAAATGCCAAAAACAAAAAGTTGAAATACACGTCGTGAAATACACTTGTACTTTTTGTTTTTGGCATTTACAAGGTAAAATAGGCCAAAAAAAAAAGTTGAAATCGTAATGAATGAGAAGCCCAATTCGATATAAAAATTGCACATTATTTCTTTTTTCAGCTACAAGAAGAGAGAGTTTCAGCTCTTTGTATTTCTCAAGAATCTAAAGCTGATGTGCACTATCAAATTGCACATTATTTGCATTTATATTAGCATTTTTCACAATTTAACTTCTAGCGTTGTTTATAGAATGAAGAACATGTTGAGCATGAAAGCTAAAACTTGGCAGACTCCAATAAAAGAGACCTAAAGTTTAGCAGAAAAATTAAATTTTGATCATGAATTTTGCTTCATAATCCTCCGAAAAAAAAAAAGCAAAAGGAAAATCATATAAGCCCATAATCAACATCTATCTACAAAAATCATCATGAATATTGCTTCATTAACCTCAAGGTTAATGAGATATACTCATCAAGCACACACCTTGTTCGACCAAATGCCACAGCCACTCCCAACCCACATCAAAATTATAATCAAGGGAAAAACCCCAAAAAATGGAAACAGAAGCTACCTTAATACCAGCGAATGGTTGGTTGAGCTCTTCCTCAGGTATAATGACAGGCCACCGCTCCCCAGCCTCTCGGAACATTTGCTCGGTCTCCAGGTACTGACCCTTCTCCAGAATCATGTTCCGGATGGTCTGCGCTGGAGTGGCGGTGGCGTCAAATTTCTCCTCAACTCCGTTGACGAAGGTGACGGTGATTTGAGGCGGTTGATCGTCGGTCCGGCGCTTAACTTGGACCTGGCAAGCTGGGTTCGATTCCTTAGCCTTGCGGGCGTTGCATTGAGCCAAAAACTCCATACACGCCGCCGTCCGTGGATCCAATGCGTTGAACTCGATCCTCACCTTCGACAAGAACTTCAACATTTTCCCCACCTTTCCTTTTTCCTATTCTTCTGTTTCTCTCGCTTGAGGTTTTGCACAAACCAGGTCGAACTCTCCTTTACTCAGTCCCACATCGGTCCTCTTAATAACCATTCTTTTCTTTAATTCATTTTTTGGCGGCTAAGCGAGCATCACACCGCGGACGAAGTGAGCGGGTCAGGACCACCACCTGTGTGAGTTTGGACCCAGGAAAGTCCCCGGGCCATTACTGTAGAGATACAGGCTCGGCAACGAGTAAACTTACTGGACTGGGGAGTCTGTTGGGCTGAGACGCGTGTGGAGCCTTGTGACTCCCGTCCAGAAGTACCTTGGCCGAAAAACAGTTATTCACTTGGTCCACTGAGACTAACAGAACGGGGCTTATGATCCGTGGTGTTCGCCTTTTGGGCCAACAGTGTTGCTTTGAAGTATTGTTTTTCGGACGGCAAATTTGGGCCCTCAAATGCGAGAATAATTCGTTGTTTGGCTCTTTTTTTTAACCCCTAAATTGTGGTTAACTTTGTTCTCTCTATTTGTCAAATTCATTTTGAATTAAGGATATACGGATTCATATATTTTTCTTCGTATTACAATTTAATATTTAAATCTCATATATTAGCTTCCAATTTAGTATGTTAATTTCCATCCTTCAGCATTGGGTCATACTTTTATTTTGAGCACAATGTGGTTGTTGTTTGATCACATTTTTAGTTTGTGGCAGGGATTAGGCAAGATTCGATTCAATAAAACAAACTGCTAATCCGGGTATAGAAATATAAGAAGCCGTAAAACAAAAGAAAAAAAAAACTAGTTAAATGCGAAAATTGTTTTAGCTTCTCTCTCCCTTTTTAACTTTCCGAATAAACTTTAAGTTGTAGTTTTGTCTAAAATTATCACGTCAATGCACATAAACATATCAGAAAGCAAAAGGATTGAAAGAATAATGAGTGGAAAGACCAAAAAAAAAAAAAAAAAAGGAAAAAAATTGAACTGCATATGTGTTATTCCCACACTGTAAATATCCACAAATCCAATAGTTACGAACTTTTGAGCATCTTTCTGAGAACACAACAATCATCGCTGATCAAACTTCCAAAGATGTTCAACCGATATCAGACATTGAAAGGCAGGAAACAAGGAAAAGGTCACATTATGAAATTCCGGGAACCATGTCAAATAAATACCAACTATCAAGTTGCACATTTGCAAAACGTCAAAATAATCTCAACCGATCAGAAATAAATAAATTAAAAATTGATTCTTTTGCTGTATAGTATTAAAAATGAAAACAAAAGAAAACGGCCCACTACAATTAGCATTCCACCCAAAAAACAAAAAATGATATACATGGAGATGCTAACTGTACGGATTATGTACCAGTGATCTCCCTATCCATTTTCATTCTCTTAGCACTTTGTGAATCTGGCATTCCATTAACCCTCTGCTGGGGTGATGATTCATCATGTTGATATGCACAGTTGGCTCCATTCCGACATCCCCTTGAACTGTTAAAATACATACAAGGCTTCATTATTTTGGGTTTCATATCTCTGGATTTCGGGTTATTTAAGGGTTCTCTGGCCGAGAGCAAGGGAGTGTTGCTGCGGTTGTTGTAATGTAGCATTGGTTCTTGTCTATCTCCTCCATGTTGCTGGATCAGGCTCTTATAATAGTTAATATCCTTTGCAACAGGAGCCCCTACAGATGGAGATGGAGCTGAGACAACATCAGGTACTGGCGGCCGCATATTGGAAATAGATGCAATCCGACTCGGAGGGTAGAAGACTCCACCAGAAGCAGCTGTAACAGGAGGTGCAACAACTTCTGGTCTGCTAATGTGGGCTAAAGGCCGATCTGTTCTACTAATAGAAATCTGAGACTGATCAGATAAACTTATTCCTGGTGTCATTGGCCTGGGCCTATTTGGCATGCTAGGGCCTGGTATACTCTGTGTGGTTGTTGATGCGATATTTGGAATTGCAGTGGCTGGCACATTCTGCATGCTTGCAACAGGCATTCGAGTACTGATAGATGCCATATGCTGCATATTAGTTGGCACATTCTGCATGCTGGTCGCTGGCATGGTTTGTGTACTAGTGGAGGATCCATGGTTCTTGACCAATTGTTCAACCATTTTTGGGTCACTCAGAATTTTGATGAGCAAGTCGCGGTCAATCATATTTCCTTGATTGGTGTTGGTCATTACCGCACTCAAGGCAGCATGTGCAGCTGCTACAACATCAAGATCCACTCCAGTGATTACCTCAGTTGCAGGGGCTCTCTGGGGATGATTAATTGTCACATGAGATGAGGAAGCTCCAGGTGTCAAGGGCTGGGACTGTAAGCTGAGGGGAAGAGTGTTCATTGTCACAGAATCAAATAATGCATTTGTAGGTGCAGGTGCATCTTCATCTTCAATAGGAGTGATGGGAATATGAGTAACTGGTTCATCAGAAGAGATTTCTGCACCCGCATCAGTAGAAGGACTGCATGGAAATAGATGTAATTTGAGGAAAAACTTTACATGCTAATAAGTCTCAAAACACATACAAATATAAAGCACCTAGTAAGAAAGAAAACCCACTCTGGAGGAATAGCAGATGGTCGTGGATAAATTGCCTCAAGCACTGTGTTCTCCCGCCTATTTTCACGTTCAACTTCTACACTTTCTTCTCCAGCAACCACTCTCCAAGCATCATCCAATACAAACTGCCAAATCCAAAGGAACAAACAGAATGTTACAACAAGGAACGGGTTCTGCAACCCAAATTACATGATCGTGCACCTGCAAATTGTCTTCAATTAGTATGCTTTATCATGCACTTTAAGAGACAGTTCACATTACTACAAAGAGTGATTTCCAAGAAAATTTTCTTTTTCCACAAAGACGTACAAAACTTTAAGCTTGGAATCTTACGAGCAACTTTGTTTTTGCATACATATGACTTTATGCTAAATTGAAAACCAAAGTGGAAACAAACTCACACAATCTAAACGAATATAAATTCAGTGGGAAACTCGTGAGACAATTAGTTATCGTCCTACCCCGTAATTCAGGAAATATCCAAAACCTAAACGAAAATCTGTTCTTTCACCCCATGTGACATCCTCTATTCCATAAAACACAAACTAAAACTGCAGATTTTCAACTCCATGCAAGTATACAACTCCACATTACACCCAAAAATAATTTAAAAAAAAAAGTAGCACCATAAGTCATCTTTGTTTCTACTCAATCATATTTTGATCACAAATTTGATTAAAAATTATCCTCTTTCCCAGTGTTATTCTTCCTTTCCCCATACATGGAAAGAATGGCTCAAGAGTTTAAAGAGAAATATAAACGCCACAAATTCAGTGGAAAAAGTCTCTTACTCTAGGAGGGCATTTCCATTTGATAAGAGGTATTTGGGGTAATTTATTCCAAAGGAGATTTGCAGGCTGAGTTCCTTCAAAGCCTGGTGGTAAATTGTCATCAGACACTAAGGAATTTGAGTTTGATGACCATGATGTCTTTGCTTGGAGGTGATCCTGACACCCAAACCCAACTTGTGCAGGAGTCTCTTCCGATAAAAACAGTCTTACCTATTAAAAGAAATACATTAATCCATCAAACACAAATATAAATCAATCATATAAGTTTGTAAGTACCACATTATCAAGAAAGGGACAAGCAGATAAAATACTCCCATGAAAATTTTGATAGTGTATCCATTAAAGCATGCAAACAATAAAGCAATAAAAGAATGAAAAGACACAGAACTTCCAGAATAACCAGATAAAGTTGCAAAAGAATATGAACAACCAAGTAAAGAAATTTAAAGTAGAAAACTTGACAGACAAATTGTCTGGTTAGAACTACTACAAAAAGCAGATTGCCAGCAAAAGCAATTTCCACATTAAACCACACTTCCCAAGTTCCAAAACACTTCAGTAGCTCCAATCAATTTTGGCCTTAGAATACTTTCACCCCACTTGTCTCCCTCTCTCCCCTCCCTCCACAAATTGCCACAATCCAAACCACCTCATCCCAGATGCAAAAACACAGATGAGCATGACTGCTTCCCAAGAAAGTGGTAGCATCCTTGCATCCATTTGTCTAACCTCATTCACCAGTGACAAGGCAGCTTATCTGTGACCAGCTTTGGAAGCATGTGTGGAACCGTATTGTCCAAAGAACAATAAAATTTTGAACATTGGCAACCCTGTGCTGCACATACTACACAGTTCTTGATGCTCAGATGCACAATGAAGTCTGGAGACTGTCATAGAAAAGTAAAGGACTAGATGAATATGATAAAATAGAAAATACATGTCTTCTAGGAACTGAAAACCCAATTTTTTATTTTAAAGCAGCGAGATGATATAAACCTCTTGACCAAGACAGATATGCAAGTTGCCCCTGATCCACTCAACCATCACTCACTTTCTTTCAAGATTCTGAAAATCAAGAACTATAGATGGCATCAACAATATCAGATGTTATACACTACTTGAATGCTGATGCGCTTGTCACGGGGAAAAGTTAATAGAGTTCAATGTCTACCAATGTCTAGGATTACATCTTTTGCAGATTGTTCACTCCTTCCCAAGTGTCGTTTTGGAAAATCCCCCGATTGAAGTATACTATACTAATCATCCACAGTTGTTTAAGCATGGACATAGGTTAACATGCCAAGTCAAGCTCCTTCTAGACCCCAGCTCAGCACAGTTCATTCTTCCTACTAATCAAACGATGAAATTACCAAGGAGTTTCCCTCAGTGGAACAGTGTCATCTCTGGGCTGAGGCCTGAGAGGTCTTGAGTTTAAGCTATCAGAGCAGAACCATCATACACATGGTCCTCATCGTCCTCCCGTTAAAAGTCCGACCAAACAACTTCTGCAGTGCTTTAGGAATATTTTGGTGCCGAAGTAGTCAACATGATTCGGGCATACAACCGGATCATGACTTAAAAACTTAGCCAAGCAGCCATTTCTTTTAATTATATATTGCCCCACACAAAATCGTGTCAAGATGCAGTGATCAATCACAAATTACAGCAAGCATACAGGCAAACCTTACCACGAATCTTCACTAGGCAAAGCAGGGGAAAATAAACAAAAGAAGAAATTAAGAGCAATTTGTTAATTTACATGAAATTTGTCTCTTCACATCTCTCCGCCTCTGAAAAGTATGAGCCTGAGGTACCAGTTTTAGTATGAATCATAAAGAGCAAAATGCCAGAAATCACCAGCAGATGGCCAGTCCTGTAAATTGGTCAAATCCGCGCAAATAAACCTTCAAGGAATCTTGAGCATCATGTGCATTGTGTCATCGATATGTTCATCTTAGCCACTTCCTCTCTGGAAAAAAAGTAAAATCTCATTGTGAACAAAAAGATACAAGGCTACAAGCCAAACATCAACCGCATACAAATAAAAAACCACAGACAATATTAAAATAATAAATTTTACAAAAAAAGAAGAAAAAAAAGCCAACACTGGATGAAACACATAATAATGATTACACATGAAATCAACTTTTCAACAAGCTCTCTGTAGAGCTAAAAAAACCAAAATACCTTGAGGAGAATGAGTTCCATTTCCCTTGGCAGCCTGCTGTGCCTGAGACAGAGACCGCTGGACACGAGGTGACCCCTGTCTTGTGTTTGAACCAGATAGGGATTGTCTTTTTTTAATGTACACATCCTTGTACTGCGTATCAGGACTTGATCTTGGAGAGTTATTAGCAAGAGCTTTGGCTCTTGCTGATTCTGTTGCTTGCATATAACTCGGCAGAGAGTTGCTACTACTACTTTCCCTTGGTTCTTGATCACCATGATCAGTTTTAGCTGTCCCAAAGGAGTTGCGCCGCTTCCCTGCTTTATGCTCCCTCGATAAATGCTCTGAGATACTTCTTGCACCATTATCTTCATTAGGTTCCAATTGGGATTCTTTACCAGTAGATACAGGTCCATGTTTATGTTTGGTACCATGCTTCCCACTCCTGATTCTCTTGGGCTTCACTGACACCTGACTAGAAGGTGTTCCATGGGATTCAGGGATTGTTACATGGCTTCTTGGAGAAGCTTCAGGTGATGATTTAGACACTGGATGGCTTGACTCAGATTCCATCTCCACAAGCACACCAGTGGCAATAGAATCTGGCTTCTCCTCTATCTCAGATGATTCAACAGTCACTATAGAGCTCACATGCTCGGATTCAACAGCAGTACTGTTCTCCTGTTTCTCTGGCTGACTCAAATTTGAGTGTGATACATCTCTCTCCGAGAGTATGGACTCAACCTTTTCATCAACTTCCAAGTTTAGACTGCTCTTAGGATTTTCAGTGCCGTACTCCGAACTTTTGGTTTCCTTCTCAAAATCAACCACTCCAACCTCAGACCTATCCGGAGAATCAAGTGTGGAAGAAATAGAAAGTTCAGTCCCACATTCAGAGCCACCAACTTGAATTCCAGAAGTTTGGGGAATAGAACTTTCAGCATGATCAATTTCCCTGGCACCAAATGCATGATTTGTGCCAGGTAAAACAGCATCCATAGAATAATCTACACCAGCATCTTGATTGGACAAACCAACTGATTTTCCTAAATTGGCAGCTGAACTAAGTTCTTCAAACTTCGATTGAACTGCAATAAATGCAGGATTTGATGCCTTTCTTGATACGGATGAAGATTTCTTTCCATCAATTTCAGAACCTTCAGGTGCAGTTCTCTCGGACACGTCCACATGCTGCCTGCGTTCCATTTCAGATTGATCATGAAATGAATCAGGCTCAGCTTTGCAAACATCAGATGCTCTATGATCATCAGGTAGAGATTCTAATGTGTTATTGCTCAAATTTGCTTGTTCAACATTTTGAGGATGGGACTGCTTGTGGCTGTGACTCACTGAAGATACGGTTGGCCTGCATTCTTGAAAGTTGTAGCTGTCTGCATCATATGTGTTGACATTATTATCAGCTTCGGAAGCCAGTGACAATGCTTCAGCACTAGTCTTGATGTCTCTTGATTGACAATTTTCTGGAGATGATACTGCAGTTTCTAGTTGGCAGTCTGCTTCCACGATGTCGTCCTTACCTTGTTGATCTTTAGCAAACTCTAATTTCTGTGACTGTCCATTTTCCACTGATGCAACGGACATCCAGCGCTCCAACCATTTCCAGGCTGAGTCCGACTTGGAAGGATCACACTTGATATTGATGGTTTTGGTCTTGGGTGTTGATTCCAGAAGCTTACGCCAAGAAGAGTAACAGAAAACAAGATACAACAGAATAAGATTCTCAACCATCCAATCTTAATAAGATTAAATAAAAGACATAGGAATCATAATAACTTCTTTTACCTGACGTGCAAATGCATTACTTAGCAACTTCTCTATGGAAGTATATGTGTATGGCTCGGTCCCCGTATTTTCTTTCTCCTGAACACATTGAAGAACATTTAGACAAATATTTAAAAGACAACACAGTAAAATTTTAGATACAAAATTTCTCTTCCTCAAACTTTTCCATCAGGCAAGTCAGCCTGACAATAAGACATCTTCAAAGTACAATCCAGAAATAATACCAACAACCACAAATTGTCTAGATCACAATGAATTTTTCTAGAAAATCATTTTGCATACTATTTATACAAGACAAAAAAAAAAAAAAAAAAACTTTACCCTTAATCCTCGTCCTAAATATGCAGGATGGACCAACAACTCATGCAGGTACTTGTCTAAAAGTCAATCAATGGAAACAGAAATAACCACCATGATAAACTTAACTCACGATGAAATTGTGAAAAGTGATAACTTGAGCTGAACTTTTACCATGAATGAACCATGATTGTTAATTCCATTCTTTTCATCTAAATTTTCTTCAATGTTTGACCGTTTTAGAAGCAAGCGAGCACGGCGTTTTCGGACAAGCGCTTGCATTTTAACAATGGCTTTGACACATCGAAGGCTACCCACAGCATGCCGCCTAACTATGTGTCCACGTACAGCAGCTTGCAACTTAATTATATTCTTATGCTTCAATAACACTCTTTGAGCCTGGAAACATAAGAAACACATAATAAAAATCTATTTTCATCTTAAGTTAAACAATCAATACGTTGAAAGCCTCACCAGATATCTCCTAACTGCAGATTGGATGACAATTACAATTGCTTCATCCAGGATGCTGGCAATTCCGTTCTCATCCTCGGCAGAAGCTATAGCTGATGATGATTTTGAATCCACAGGAATTTGCACCTCGTTTTTCTCCTCTGTCCATTGAGCAGCAGAGGTTTTATCTCGAATAGTAGAGCTAGCCTGCGTCTGCAAGCTGACAGCAGCAGTATCCGGATCAGTCTTGCTCACAAAAGGTGTTTCTGAGGTAACAGAGTTGCTCAGCACTCGATGTCTTGCAGATCTTTTCCGGAAACTCCACCTACTTCTATCACTTGAGCCCTTACTCTGTAAGCAGCAAAATCATCGGAAGTAGGGAGGAGGAAAAAGAATAAAACGAAGAGATAGCATACCAATGAGAAAAATGCTACTACTTGTTTAATCATGCACGTATTCGCACAACAACGAGAAAAATGCGCAAGTGTGAAGAAAATTTAGGTTAACAGCATACGCTAACAAAGACTCTAAAGGTGCAAGTTCCTAATTATCAATTGTGATCTTTTATCAGAAACAGAAGAAAGCTAGCTTCTTCCAAGAAGAATCACACTTGGTCAGGACTCACAATGCTCCGAAGAGCCCACAACACATGTTAATTTTGCTGACACACAACATATATCCATACTTTTGGAAGTTTCTTTCAAGACATTATCCTGCTGGAAGGTAGCTGCAAAAAGAAGACAGCAAAATGCATGATAAGCAATCAGTACATAATTAACCAATTTATTCAGAAGTTGAGAAGCCAGGAAACCACAACCATTTCAGTCAGATGACTTTGATGCTGGTTATAGGAAATAAAAGGTGGGTGGAAGTCACTAATAACTGCAGCGCACAATAAAAGTTCCTTCTGAAATTAATATAGAATACCCCCTAGACATAAACCGGATAAGATACTAGCAAACATTACACTCATGTTGTACAATTTCATCTACCCTCCAATTGACAGATGAAATAGCCATCAACCTGATTTTCAATTGATGGTTTACAAAATTGAATAATTAAACAAGCATTTAGCCACCCTGCTACCAAGACTCACAAGCAGCCATGACTATGGTGGACAATAAGCTCAGGCGCTCATCTTTTTCTTCACATGGGCAGACTCAGGGAGGAAACACAAGAAATGCTCTGTTTAGATGTAAATGAATTAACATATTTATGTAGGTAGATATTTGGCCTTAAAACCACTAGTAACTTCTAATAATGCTTGTGCAGCATCAGCCATGAACCTGGCAGAGCAGCCTGTTATTTCTAATTTTGTTGTAGTTTGTAAGTAGATGAGAGAAACATGTTCTTTTCTTTAGAGTAAACTTAAATAATATGTCCAAAACTCAACATACATTAATTAGAATTACTTGCATGCATTTCATTGCTGGCAACACAAGTCACCTCAAGCATGTACGCCATATCCATGCTACTATATCTTGCAAAATATTGTTAGGCAATAAAATCTTGACAAAACTTGTTATGAGCAGAAAAATATGAATATCTCAATAATTTTGCAGAAAATAACAACGTAAAAATTGCCACTAGACAAGGTTCTTGCATTTCTTGTTCCCTCTTTTAGTAAGGCACACCATGAGACGCATTGAACTACTGACTCATCCCAGGTTTTCAAAGTGATTCCACAAATTAAATTTAATAGATAGATAAGTAATAACCTAGAAGCATTGAACACACATCCTCCAACTTTTAAGAAAGGAACAATCTCACTAAATGACCACTATTTAAGACAAAGCAGAAACAACAAGAAGTATCTTCTCTGGATAGTCCATGTCAATCTAGCAATGGACTACACATTTAGAACTATGCATAGCTTCACAATCAAACTGCTGCACTGTAAAAGCTCCCTTACAGTGTCCCTGATAAATTTAAAGCTAAATCTGCAGCAATTCAGGACCAACAATATAGAACATCTTGATACTCCTCCGCTAGCAACTATAATCTGTTCTAATAGAAAGAAGCTAGTTGAAGGTTTGAAGAAAGACAAGATATCAGGTTCACAGTCTAAAATCTAACAAAAAGCAAGATAATTCCAGGTGGAAAGGAAAGGAATCAACAAGATAACTTCCTGTACACAGATAAATTTCCTTCTGAGACACGGATTCCCTTAATATTGCAAATCCTGTAGCACCATATATCCACAATGACTAATCACAAGCGAATTTCAGATTCAAATCCTAAACCCCAGCCCTCATTCCTCAATATCCTAATTGATTCAGTTATGCAATAAAATGAATCCATTTACACTAAGCAAAGCCACTGGAAATCAAAAGTCATTCTACACACTTTTCGTCGATAAATGAAATGCAGAGGAAGGAGGACAAATAAAACTCGAAACAGTGGGATATGTAGGATTCTATCTTTCCAGAATCGAAGATCTACTTCTAATACCTCGTTAACATTCAGCATTTACCAATGCAATACACTATCAAAGGATCTTGGCAAAGTGAACAGTGACACCGAATTAAATCTTTTGAAGTAATAGTCATAGCTAATTACTTCTGGGGAAACAACTAACAACATCGATTTCATACCTCGGCCGTGGCAGACTAATCGCATGAATTAAGATTCCCTAATGATATATATACTCAACCGGAGAAACCAACTAATTGCGTAATAATATGCTTTTTAGTATGAAATTAATAGTGCACTTGAATCTCTAAATTACATTTTTCGTTTCATCCCTAAACTTGCCGGGTAAACAAAAGTAAGATTTTAGTTAAACCTTAATCCATCTGAAATACGGCTCCAACTTCTGAATTTCCTAGCTCGCCAGTTCATTCACAATATTGGCATACCTCCATACCAATCCTCAGATATTACCTCAATCTCCATGTCTACTCGCAAAGATCCTTACTTTTCTCATCTCCAGAAAGAATGGAAAAATCACGACAGTTCCTCATCAGAAGTCAAAAACTTCATAACAAAACAGCGGAGGAATAACAAACCAAACCAGTAACCGAAGCATATACCTCAGGAGCTTGAAGATCATCTCTGTCGACGGAGTCATTGTTGCCGGCGCAATTGATGAGCTTGAAACATGAAGCTGTGCCAGATCTCACCATTCTATCGATCGATTTTCTCTAATGTCGTGATCTCACTCACACAGTACACACACTTCTCACAGTCTCCAGCAGAGTAGTAGAACTGCTACTGCTTGGAGTCGCTCTAAAGTTGGTCTTTGTTATGGGAAATTGTACCCAAGGCAGGACACACTGGGGGAGACGGAGAGAGAGAGGAAGTTTTAGGAACGCCGGACCTCAACCCTCTCCTGAAATCCAGCTCAATATTGCTTTACGAGTCCGCCAAGGTCCTCGTTTTCTTTTCGTCTCTCTATATATATATCCGTTGAGATTTCAAAGCCAGAGATGAGTGACGAGTGAGATAAAAAGCAGCAGTGTTTGGAAATCCGATTAACAAAAGTTGTCAGATCCATACTGTTACTAATTTTCCTTTTTCTTTGTTTTTTCTGAATTAAAAAACAATTATTGATTAGTACAAAATTGAAATATCGGGTAAAGCTTTTTTTTTTTAAAAAAATATCACGATAAATTGCTTACTTTTTTTGCTTTATCTCGTGTCAACAGCGGACAAAGAATGTAAAGTACCATGCCTAGAGGTACTTGTGTTTCTTTATCCGTTACATGTGTTTTAGTGTTTACACCGTAAAAAGTTTGATACTTGCCTTTTTCTCTCTCTACATTTTTCTTTTTTCTTTTTAAGTTTTTCGTGGATTACCTTATGTCTAAACAGTATTATGATATATTATTATTATTTTCGCACGGATATGATACCAACAAAAATGGATGTGTTTGCATTGGCATTATTTGTAAAAAAATTATTTAATTACATCACTAATACTTTTTTTTTTTAGAAGATACTTTAGAAAAAAAAAAAAGCAAACTAATTTTTACTATTGGTATTTAAACAAGTAATCCTCGTATGAAAGTTGTCAGATCCATACTGTTACTAATTTTCCTTTTTCTTTGTTTTTCTGAATTAAAAAACAATTATTGATTAGTACAAAATTGAAATATCGGGTAAAGCTTTTTTTTTTAAAAAAAATATCACGATAAATTGCTTACTTTTTTTGCTTTATCTCGTGTCAACAGCGGACAAAGAATGTAAAGTACCATGCCTAGAGGTACTTGTGTTTCTTTATCCGTTACATGTGTTTTAGTGTTTACACCGTAAAAAGTTTGATACTTGCCTTTTTCTCTCTCTACATTTTTCTTTTTTCTTTTTAAGTTTTTCGTGGATTACCTTATGTCTAAACAGTATTATGATATATTATTATTATTTTCGCACGGATATGATACCAACAAAAATGGATGTGTTTGCATTGGCATTATTTGTAAAAAAATTATTTAATTACATCACTAATACTTTTTTTTTTTAGAAGATACTTTAGAAAAAAAAAAGCAAACTAATTTTTACTATTGGTATTTAAACAAGTAATCCTCGTATGTATCCAGTTTGCTTTTACCCTTTTCTTTTTATAGATTATGGTTAACTTTGAATTAAAAACTCAACGCGTTGCAAATGTATTCAAGTACGTGTGCCTTTGTTGACAGATCCGTTTGGATTTGCCTTTTTATAAAATTTTCTTACAAATGTGTACGATAATAATTTGATTGTATGTGTGATAAAATGATGATTAAGAAATGTGTTTATGTAAAAAATTTTGTGTTAATAAACTACGATCCAAACGTTTTATTCTTATTGACTTTTCCGTTGAACTTTGCAAAAAGATATTTTAGGAGGTACGTGCATAAAAAAATATGGTAAAAAATCTTCTGCACATAGATTTATCACCCGCCCATAGAAAAACACAAGAAATTCAACATATCGGTAAAATTTGTAGAAATGTTGCCTATCATTTCTTTTTTCATAAACTAATAACCACGTATGGTACGGCATTTCTTATATCAAGTTGAAGCTTTCTTAACATGGCCAGTTCCACATAACAGCCACAAAATTCGTTCAAGTATGATTTATGGTCATCTTTAACAGAAATACTTAGCTAAATGTTGTGCCCAGAATCTCGTGAAAATTTTAGGAAAATAACAAAGCAAACAGTTGGTAATATCCTTTGGGAAATATATTGTGTTTGGATAGGAAATTATTTGAAACATTTAGTGTAATACTTTTTATGATATGATAAATGTGAGATAAAAAGGTGGTTGAACAAATTTTAAAAAAAAAATTGATTGAAAAATGTGTTTATGATACAAACAAATAAGCGTACAGAAACATGCAAATACATCTAATCCTCCCTTTTTTTTTTTGGTTAATCATGCTCCTTCTGTCATTTTAATAACATAGTTTTCAATTTATAAGACTATATGATAAAATAGAGCGTGAGAGAGTACGGATAATAAAAAATGGAGCGTAAATTACATTTTCCTACCTTTTTTATAATGCATAATAGTATTCAAACAAAGCACGTCAAGTCAGTGAACTAAAACGGAAGTACATTATTATTATTATGATTCTTATCATGAAGGAAACAACCTAATTAGATTAGCTTACGGAAGTACGCATGGAGATGATTGCATTCTATGATAGATGGAAAGAGAATTTTTCTTTGTTCTTGATTTTAGTGCATCATACGAATGCTCGAATACAATACCGGGTTTGCCAAATGCTCAGGAAATAAAATGATGAATTGGATTTGGATGCATAAACAAGCATTGTCGATAACTTTTAGCACTACAAGAATGAGCCTTTGACCCCACAGGAAGGATAAGATCACCACACCATAATCATCAATCTTCAAATTGTCATTAATTGGTGACTGCAGTTGCAATCATCTCCCCACCTGAATAGTTGTTACCACTTACAACTTAAAAGCCGGGTCATTGCTAATTATGTCGGATTAATTGGTTAATCAACTGAACCAGCATGATTAGCCAATGGACCGTAATCTGATGCCATTATTACCCAGGATGTTTGGTCATAATCCTGCATGATTAGAGTGAATAAAGCAAGCGCGAGAAGAAGAGGAAGATGGTGACTCGTAACACATCACACGATAGACCTGCCGAGAAAGTCAAAATGATAGCGAATCATAGAGCAGAACCGCGGCGGGGGTTGGGCCCAGGGTGGGACCATTCATGCGAGCGGATAGGAATCATGACCTCCGGGACAGGTAACCATCAGGATTTGGAGGACTAGTAATTTATTTAATTAAACGGTAACGTTAAACAGGGTAAACGGAGTTATGGTGTGATGCACTATCCTTTTAGTTTGACAAACACCAAGCAACTGAAATTTGGATCGAGTGCTCCGAATTTGAAAGTAGCTTTTCTTAATCGAATTTATTTTGGAGTAACTAAAATTTCCATAATAATTTTCACTCTTTCTATGATTGTTAACAAATTGTTAGATGATAGCGTTCGAAATAAGTTTTTTTTTTTTGAAAAAAAAAATGGTTGTTATTTAGTTCAGATAAATACATATTAGTTTATAGTTCGACCTTAAGTATGATCAGTAAAATAAGATGTAAAAATGAAATAATGACCTGTATAACTTTAATTTTATTCTTTTTTAGTTGATATAGATTTTAATTTGATTAATAATAGTTTATAAATTTAAATATTTTGTAATTTGGAATTCAGGTTAGACATGCTTAGCACGGATCAGAATACTAATTATATACATATCTCTACGTATATATAAAGAATTGTTCAAAGAGCTGTTTTATAGTACAACATAATTGTGAAAATGCTCATTACTTCAAAGTTGGCAAGATCTTGACATCTGTTCAAGGACCGCAATATTATGGCTCGAGCACCAAATATTCGTAGATATTGGCTCAAATATAGTAGTATCTCCAGCTCCAGGCCTTATCTTTAACCTTTTCTAATAGTAGTTTCCAGTGAACTGAACACAAGTGCTGCTGGCGGCAGGACTGAGGCTGAGGTCTCCAACAGATCAGACCAGTGTGAGGTAACCAAACCATCTTGACAGCTATTTTGTCCGGTTGGGCACGTGTCTGCGATCCACAACCGACACGTTATGGCACACGAGTCCGATTCAGCTATGTGTCTGGTCTGGGCAGGGCTAATGCGGGTTACTTTATGCCCAACTCTGCTGCGCATGCCATGTCAGATATCTGCTTCAATTAAAAGGCCGCCATTATATCTTTCCATGGACCCACCAGGATTCCCACCGCTGCGACCGCTCCACCATCGTCATTTGGCATTTAGCTCAAAGAAAAGGACGATCAACACTTAAATTAAAGTAATTTTAGAAACCTTCCTTGAGCGTTTTTAACTATTGCAAGAAGCTCCATTCTAGTTTAAAAAATTACACTTACCTCCAATATGATTAGCATTTCAGTAACAATACAGACCCAGTATGCGAAATTTATCCTAAAAAAATCCTAAAAATACTCCTTTGTTACTTAGAAGTGGGAAAACTCACTAATAAATTTCTTCCACGTTGCAACTATACCACCCTAACGGACTCAATAAACCACTTCAGTTTAATTTCCATATTCTCACAGTTTTGACAGCCTATCAATGTTGTTCCAAAGCTTTCCATGCAAATCAATTATGACATTTTTTTACCTTCATTTAGTGCGACAACAAATCTGGTCCAACAGCTTGTCATTTGAAAATTTCAATTCAATAATACTTACACAAAAAAAAAGAACACAAAAAAAAAGATAAAGGATCTATTTCTATAATAATAAGGATTTGAGATGTATTAGATGGCAGTTGCGAAAATAGTGGATTATGAGATACAGGAGAAACGGTCGGAGAGAGAAAATAATAGTTTATTTTGTGGGTAGTCGTTGTTTTAGACTAGTTGTAGTTGTATAATTTTGTTTTGTATGAATTATTTATAAGTGAAGGATATTATAGTCATTTTACTACATAAAGGGAGGTTAGTATAATTATTCAAACCTAAAGGGAGGTGAGTGAAATTGTCAAATGAGAGGTTTATGAAATTATCCCTAAATTAAAAACATGCTTAATTCTACGCCTTTTTTTTCTATATATAAAGTATGAACAATGGGTTCGGTGTTAAAGTAATGTGTCATTTTTTAGTTTTTCTAATTTCTTCCTCACAAAAGTGAAGATTTATAAGAATAATTACTTAAATGTAGTGCTAACTTCTAATACTTCCATTTCTACTAACTTCTATTTTTTAATTCGTTTTCCAAAAATAATCATAAACTATTTGCAAAACAAAAAAAAAATCTAATGATTTTTATTGGTTTTAATAAAACAATTAAAAATTTTCTTAATTTACATACTCGTAGAATGTGCTTTTCTCACTGGTATTACATAATCTCAA